ATTCCTAGATTTTTCAGTTTATTCACAATAACTATATGTTGGAGATTACTTGTATTATCAATACATTTCTCGTAATGATAAATTTGCAATAGCTTCCATGTCAACTGTCCATTTTGACCCGTTTCAATATTTGGATCTCTGTTCATAAGCAATAATAATTCACGATTTGTTCGAGCAATCTGCATAATCTTTTAGAATTCTTTGATTTGTTCAGTTTGGAGGCCAATGTTTTCCATTGGAACGAAGTGACTTTTATTGCTATGGCACTTTATAAGTAATTAAGATAACTCGATTATCAAAAGTTATACTCAACTAATGATGGGCAGATGAAGTTTCATCCGGAAAGGTCATTGAATAATGTATAGAAATTACAGATACAAACTGAAAAAAAGCCCTCTCAAAACAACTACTTTTATATGAATATTGAATTGTATAAAAACACTTTTTCCTATTCAATTTGTACTCCAAATATTTTCTTATGAAATCAAATCAGATGCCATTCACAGGAACATTACACTTCACAGTATATGAAAGAGATATAATTTCATTTACATGGAACACCGTCATCTTCAATGGCGGACCTCGATGTTTCGGAATACGACACTGATAGTATTTCGTCTTCAGCACCAATCTGGATAACATTTCAAGATGAATTACTCAATTCATTCATAACATCATGGCTTTACGTCAAGAATGAGACAATATACTCTGTCAAAAAATAGGGCAAATTTTCATTTTTCTCAAAAAATATTTATTTATTCATCAATTTCTATTAGTAGTCAATCTCAGATTTGATACACTTGTGTCAGCGTTTTTTCTCAACCTAGAAGTAGTTCTGATTTGCACTTTTTGGTATGTGGTATGTCCCTGAGCTCTCTCAGCGATTCGATTTTCATCTCCTCAAAGCAAAACGCCGTCCTTTCATGGGTTTCTTTAATCTTGAGACCAGGAAAATGTCGCAGTGGGCCAAATCTGGTGAATAGTGTGGTTGAGGAGCAGGTGCATTATCGTGATGCGAAAGCCATGAATTGTTTTTCCACAATATGATAGTCCTTATTGACCGTACGACCATGTGGCAAGGACTGATGCACTACGTCACGGTAATCGAAGAAAACAGTGAACAAAACATTGACATTTATTCGAACTTGGCGTGCTTTTTTGGTTTTGGCTCTCCTGGGCTCTTCCTTTGGGACGATTGCACGTTTGTTTCGATGTCATAACCATATACCCATGATTCGTCACCAGTTATAACTGAATTTCATCTTTTATGCTTCTCACCAACAAACTAAACATGCTAAACAGCTGTGTGATTTCACGTGTGATTTCATTGTCGAGTTCAACCAACAAGATATTTTATTGATTTCAGCAGCTTTTTGGTAGTAGCAACACCTCAGATGAAATGTACCGAAAATTATATCTTTTTGGTTTTGGCTCTCCTGGGATCTTCCATTGGGACGATTGCATGTTTGTTTCGATGTCATAACTATATAACCATGATTCGTCACCAGTTATAACCAACTTCCATCTTTTATGCTTCTCACCAACAAACTAAACATGCTAAACAGCTGAAACTGTGGACATATTTCGAGACGAGTGTACCAACGTAAAGAAATAACATCCCAGGTATAATTGTTCAAGTTACAGTTCATTGTGGAATTTCCACTAAACAGTTTACAAAACCGCAACACGTGTTTTGCTATACAATAGCTTTCTCAAACATTTTCATACGCTTGAGAAAGGATATGCATAGATGATTATTATTTTGAAAAACTATTGCAGTAGAAGTCCAAAACAAGCAATACACTGACCAACTGCGTTTTTCGGTGTGAGTTTTACGAAGCTCTGGTATATCAGATATATTCCTCACAGTCGTAGGGTGCTGTGGAGAAATATTCTTCAGAGTCGTAGGGGGCTGTAGAGAATCAATCATTCCTCAGAGCCGTAGGGGACTATGTGGTATGGTCAAGTTTTAGAAACTCAAGTTTCTAAATGCACAAAATGGAAGTTGCATTTTTGTCTTTGTAATCTTTTGTTATCCCCAAACATTGTACTTTTCTCCACCATGCATCACTGAGATGGAACCGGTAGCCAATAATATAATTTTAGCACTATTGCTAACGATTTTTACGTCGTTGAGTACATAAATCTCGAAATCTATAACTATTTCGTCGGGGATAAAATTCAAATTTTGATTCTTTGGAAAAGTAACAGACATTGTTTGTAGGTGATAGTCGTTTTATCATTCAAGAGACGAATCGCGAGTAGGATATAATATCCATTATGCCATCCATGAATGGTAAACAATTGCAATAGTTTTGGACTCAAATGTTTCATCCTCAAATGATATTTTTAACTTGTTTCATCTCGAATCGCCCGTTTCACGAATACTTACCTCTGAAACAGAAGACCATAAATTTTCGAGTTTGAGAGTATCTAGATTTCAGAGTTGCACTGGATCGAATAACCTCTGCATGTTGCGAGTCCATAAGAGTGCAAGTACCTATTTATGTTAAATACTCATTAACGCCGTGAAACTAATTGAGAGTACATATGTTTCAATTATTGTCTTGATCCTGTTTTGCTTTCCTTTATTTCTGATGATAAAATATTGAACAAAAGAGGACTCGGAATATTTGAAAGTAATCCGCCGTCGCGCTAGCTAATAATAATTGTATCAATGAAGCTCACAACAGGAAACAGACTTTGATTTTTGATAAAATAGATACAAATTTTGATCATATAGAAGTAAGGTAAAGTGAGTATTTCAAATTTTTTGAAGAAAGATCTATCTACTGAGTAGTTTGTAGCAGCCATGCTTCGGATGCTTTTTGTACGTAAACTTTACCTCCGTTTGTGTATCAACTCCAGAAACAGACACTGTAGCGAAATCTTGATTTAATCTCAGCAACAAGTGAGTTATTGAAAAACCGCCCATTTAAAGATGTCATTGTTTGTTCGCATTTTCTTTATGCTTATTTGGCAGGAACCTGTTTTAATCATGCCTACGTCGCAGCGAATTTCCCACAATTCGCATCAGAAACAAGTCTGTCAACTTTATCCATATACACTCGAAATAACACAATCCCCGAACAAAACCTTGCGATGCTCCGAGTGACAAAATTTTTCGCCGAGTTGATGATGCCTGCCTCTAATGATGTCTGCCACAGTAGCAGACGAAACGTCAAATATAAAAACCTGCAGACCACGGCTGATAAGCCCGAAAACATCGGACAATTCGTTAGACACTAGCCGTGAAGGCCTATACACCGTGTTCAACAGTTTGTTCCTTATGTCCACAACGAATCACGTAGAGGGGATATGATGTCTAGTTCTGAAATAAATTCGTTGATGATGTTGGTCACTAATACATCAGTTCTTAATTCATGATTTCCAAGCCTACGTCTCACTTCAGATTCTCTATGAACCGTCAGTCTATCTGCAGTGGCTGTTTCTATAACGGGTACTACTAATAACTTCTTCAAACTGATTGTGTTCTGAATGGTGGCTTTCATTACTGACCCTGTTGCTCCAGTATCAACGGTGAAAATGCACTGTTGATTACTCAGAAATTCGTCGACATCTAAGCTCCTACTGTCGCGTCCTATCGTGGAAATCGAACATCTTTTCTCCCCTCGAATCTTGAAGATAATCAACAGTCCCGCCTTTAATGTTCCTCTCTGCCGCAGTTATAGCATTCAGGCCTCCCTCTTGCCCTGGGTGCGGTTCAATTAATCAAATATTTCTTAAAGAGTTTCCTTAGACCTGACATGAATCGATCTGTTCCGATGTCTTCCTTTTTGGTAATGACTCTCACTAGAACATTCCATTGTTGGCGGGATGCATTATTGGCAAATTCAAGTTCTAGGCCAAATGACGGCTTCATTTAGTTTTTCATGACGCGCCATCCACAGCGACTGCTGTAGCTCGGTATCACGAACTTCATCGATGAAACTATGGACACTGATCCAGTGGGTAAACTCATCGAACGCTTGTTAGTATCCACGATTGTGGATACTAACAATCGAAATGTGAAGTAAGTTGGCTTGGAAACTCTCAACTTTTTATTTTTATTTTTTGTTAATAATATTTTCAATTTTCGGCTTTTATTAATATTTCAATTTTTTATTTTTTTGGTTGTAGCTTGTATGTTATTTCATTGTAATTTCAGTTTTTTGTTTAATAAAATTGTTATTTTCGGTTAATCTTTTTGATTTTTTTTTCAGGGATTTCAAATCATTTATATTATATTAGACAATGGAAGTGCGTACTGAGGAAATACACCACGAAACATTGTCAACCACATTCAAATAATACTCAAATGTCTATCACCTTTATAGCTCGTTTCGCCTGCACTTTCCGAACTAAACTAGCTTCCTTTGCCTGTTGGTAGTGTTTATATATCTCGGTGAAAGTCTTCGAAACCGATAGAAACATTCTACAAGTAACACGACACTCAGAAGGATCGAGTGGGGTTGAGCCCGACCTTGACGAAGTTACAGTCGATCAGCAAAGATCAGCGGCGCCTGGCGTTGTTTTAGGGGATAATTATCAACAAAACATATACAGGATGTAACATAAGTACGTTAAAGTATTTAAGTAGTGTATTCCTGAAACAATTTAAAAAAAAAGTCTATATAAACTTGTGTCCGAGATATTTACAACTTTCTATATCGACGCATATTATTTAGCTCCTAGGGCGATATTTGAAGTTGCTGAGAACATTACAAAAACTAAGTATGTGGTGGATTTCGTCAAAATAAACAACTTTTCCCTATAAAATGTTCATCCAAAAATTATTCTTTTTAGAGATACAAATTGTTGAAATTTTTCAAAACATAGTTGTTTTTTGTAATTTTTTGCAATTTTAGTTATTTTCATCAAACATGATGGGTTTTTGATCTGCTAACTATATCGTGATTTCACGAAATACTTGAAATAATGAAGTCACACATTGTTTAAGTTGATATGTGAATGGATGTTAATGACAATTTTTTTTTCAGATGCCGAGGAAAAAATATAATAAAATCTCCACCGTTAAACATCAACTCTCTGAAGACAATGCTTGGGATACCAGTCTGAACTCTGAGGATTGTACTGACAACATCACGGAAGATTATTCAACTGAGGGTTTCAAAGAATTCAAGTGTAAGGGTCCCAAAGAATTCAAGTGTTTCAACACATTCGACTACACTATTTTATTAATTATTGTCCTGTCTTTATCTGTTTACTTTTTGACCTACATAGAAAGCATTTCATGGCAACTCTCATCTATTGGAAGGATTTTCTTGATAAAAATATTACCTTATTATGATTGGAGACCACTAAAAAATAAACAGTGTCTTATAGACGCATTTTCAAAGGAAAACGAATTGTTGGACGACAATTTGAATTGCGATATTTGTGAAAATATAAAACATATCGAGGTTTACGAAACGATAGATGAAGATATTTTGGACGAGCGCTACATCAAACGTGATAGGCCAGTAATATTAAGTAAAGGTTTGGAAATGTGGCCTAATGATTCTAAATTCATTCAAGAACTGAGACTGAATGAACATTTTTCATCTTCTTACCCCTGTGAGCTATCTACCGATATTTTAAAAGATTTAAGAACTATATATCAGATTATTGAAAATGTCGATCAATTTGATGAATTTTTTCTACACTTTCAAAATTGTGACGTGGATGCCATGAAAATTTTCAGAAGATTCACTTTCAGGCCAGAAGCTTTACCGCCAGTATATTCTCCAGTCCTATATAATTGGTTAATATGGAACAAAAATTATAATACTTCCAACTACAAGAGAGTGGCGTTGGTTGAGAAGGTTGCGGTTTTTGGGCAGCTGTTTGGGTATACTTACGTGTCACTAATTCCTAGAAAAAACTGTGAATTTGTATGCCCACAACTTAACATCAAACTAACTGGTAGAGAAATGTTGATTTTCAGTAGTTTGTGGGATTTGGAATATCGCCCGTTTGAAAAGGGAGAAAATATGGCAGTCATTCTGGAGACCAGCGATTAAAAATGTACCTTTAAGAGATTTTGATAGACTTTTTACTGCCAATAGCTGTAGTGTTAATAAACTGAGTTAAGCATAAATGATTTTGAATATCAGTAGTTCAGTTTTTCGTCATTCTCACAACTATATCACACCATTGTATAAAACAAAGTCACTTTCCGCTATCTCTATATGTATGCTTGGATCTTTAAAACTACACAGCAGATTTTGATGCGGGTTTTTTATTAGATAGAGTGATTCAAGTGATTCAAACGCTGGCGGAACCCTACGAGATAGATAAAAAATGAACTACAGTATTATAGCATCTTGAAAATGTTTATCTCTTAGGGATAACTAACAATACACGTTTTTTGTCCTCGAGAAATAATGGCTTATTTTCGAAGCGATTTTAAGCAATACAGCATCAATTCTTGTCCAATTCAGTACCTTAAATACATTGTGCATTTAAAATATATCAATATGGTCCTTTGATGCATGAAATTTAAAGGAATGTTTTCGAAGATATAATAGATTAAAAATGCAGGGATATAGCGGTTGCGGCGGTACCGGCCGGGAATCCGGCGGCGCGTGCCCCATACCACTCGCACGTGTTTACATGTATATTCAGTAACAGCATTGCACCTGTGCGGACTCAAAGGGGTCGCTAGTTAAATAATATATAGGGTTTTTCACTGAGCGCTTGTTATCTTTAAATTTAAATGAAACAAAGTGTGTGTGAGATATCATCGAAATTTTTTATTCGTTGGAAAGACCTATTGACGCCATTATGTATGCCATATAACATCGTTCAAATGTCCGTCACAGCTTCTCTGGGTTGGGCGCATTCGAAAAGACCAATTTTCTATGACTCTGACGCATAAATTAGGCTGAATTTTACTGGCGGCATGGGTTACGTTGGCTTTGAGGAATGCTGTGGCTTATGATTTGTTCGCATACACCTGCGACTTAAGAAAACCCCACAAGAGAAAATCTAACGGGGATAAATCGCATGATCTCGGTGGCCAGTTTACATCACCTCCACATGAGATGACCATGATTTCAAATCGCTCATGCAGAGTGTCCAATGTGGCATGTCGTTAGTGTCCAGATCTTCCAATTTAGACCAAAAGAAAATGGTAATCATCTACCTATAGTGCTCGCCGTTGACAGTGATGGCCTGCTCAACCTCGTTCTCAAAGAAATATAGATCAATGACGCCACCAGCCCAAAATCCACACCAAACACTGACTTTTTCGAGATGCATTGGAAGCTCTTGAATCTCCTGTTGATTGGTATTGTTCCAAATACGACAACTTTGTTTGTTCACGAACCCATTCCTCCATAAATGGGCCTCATCGTTTAAAATGATTTTTCGATGAAAATTAGAGTCAGTTGCCAACTGCTCCAGAGCCCATTTAGCGAACAAACGTCGTTGTCTATTGTCGTTTACCTTCAGTTCTTGTCACAACGCAAAATTCGCCAAGTTCTTGTGAGCGACGCGAAATCGACTGCCTTGGGTTCTTCTGCACACTCTCACAGACAGCGACGGTGTTTATGGTGGATATTACGTACGGGTGTTGGTCAATCGTTTACTGAACTAGTGAACTCAAAATTATCCACCACATTGTGAATAGTCTTCTCGGTAGGATGATTATGATGAAGCGCGCAGTCCGTTTCCCGAACAGAATACCCCTTTTGATAAAACAATTTTATTATTTGCACATGCTGTTGAGCATAGTAATATGGCAAAACAGAGTGAATAAATGACAACCAATTTGACAGATGTAGCTTCAAGAAGATGCGGCCGTAATCAATTGTAAAAGTTCAGAAATCCCTGTTGAAAGACCCCATATATGGAAAAATAATAACGTTAGTCACGAAATAATTGAAGAGCCTGAATGACGTCAAATTTCACTGAAGCCCTTCCACTCGCTGTGTAGTGATGTTATAAAATTTTTGGGAAAGAAAGGCTGTTTTTTTACTTCTTTATGCAAAAAATTTGAGGATCTACAGAGGAAGGAAGTGAAATAAAAGAGCCTGTGCTCATATATTTTTTCAAATGCGGGACTTACGATATATATACCAAATGCGGATTTCTCCACATCAAATTCTGAGCATTAAGGCAATTCCCAAAATGCTTGAATTCAGCCTCCCGCACGAAAAGGGGGTCTTTAGTTGCAGTTGAGCAAGATCTCGATAACTCGGAGACCTTTCTTTCCAAGAGGTTACTATGCTAGATTTTAAAATAAGAGCCGGCTTTAAACCTTAAAAGACACTATATTCGAAAATAAAAAGACAAAGAAAAATGATAAACAAAATAGGCAAAGAAAAACACCGGAAAGAAAATAACAATGACCGAATCTCGAATAAAACACAAATTTAGTGCCTTCGCCATACATTCCTATCATATACGAAAGTAACTGTAGCCGATAATTTCTGACCGCTACCTAACTATGACTCAATAATTAGATTCACTCTGTAACTACACTGATTTGTGGCTAACTCCTTGTCAAAATTCATAAAATGATTATAAAACATGAACAGTTAACTCAGCGCCGCCCTTTTCTAGCTCGTCTCTGTAGGTTATCCAAAAAAATATCGTAGCAAAACCTCAATTTTAACTCGTATATACACGGTTTCGGCATACGAAACCATTTACTACACTCACAGACAAAAAAAAATTGCATATTTTATTTTAAGCCTTGATTTAATGTTCATTTCTATTTGTCTGAATCTTTATATGCAATTTTCATTACTAAATGGTATATGTTGAAGTATTTAACGTATATTAATTGCCAAATAATCCAGATATTGAAATTTTATAACACATTTGTAGAAGAAGTAATGGAATAGACGAGTTTTGGTAATAATATTCAATCAGAAGTTCTTTGAGGCAACATAATAACAGTTCAGTACTTAGTGTTTCCTCCCCTAACTCATCCTCCTGGGCATACTCCGCAAAAGGTCTTTGATGGTTTCTTGTGGAATTCGATTCTATTCTTCCTGTGCAGCAATTCATAATTCTGCAATTGAGTTAGGAGCTGGATTTCGTGCTCGTATATATCTTTTTAGGATATCCCAAATATGTTCTATAGGATTTGCGTCAGGACTGTTTGGTGGACACTCCACTGCCTCAAGTCCAACATCTTCAAAATACTGGGTGACTGTTCTTGCAGCATGTGCACGAGCATTATTATGCATTAGCACGAAATTGTAACCAATGAAGCCGCCGTAAGGTAAAAAATGCTCTTCAAGGATGTTGCGTATGTACCAGTCAGCATTCATTCTTAACATCTCTATAAGCTCAGTGCGACTGTCCCAACTAATGCCACCCCACAACATAAAAAAACCATCACCAAAGGTAACGTTATGCACAAGATTTAATGTGTTTAATTTGTTCCACAAATACAGGGTGTTTCCTAACTACGGTACGAAACTTCAGAGGGTGATTCGTTAGATTGTTTTAAGAAAAAAAGTTCATATGAACATATGTCTGAAGTTGCTTAGTTTCTGAGATACAGGGCTTCGAAGATAAAAAAAGTGTATTTATAAAATATCATAAATATGCTTACACCGATTTGGTGTAAGGATATTTGGCGCTTATTTAGACCTAACTAGATTGAAATTATTAGGTCCAGTGGAGTCTCATTGGGCCCCACAGCCAACAATATTGGAGAAAAAAAAGTACACCACAGACTTGTTCTTGTAGTTTTTCATTTTTTTAAGATTATTCAACTAAAAAAAAAAAAATTCGTGGTCACTTTGAATATCATGAACACCTGCTTTGGAGACCAGCTGACAGTGATAGTGTTGCCATATCAGTGAAAGTCAGAATTGTCAATTGGCAGTGGCCATCATAAATAATTTTGCTAACGCTGAGATGGCTGACATGCCCTTATGGATTAGCAAATGGAAATGTGAAAGAAGCACTAAGAATTTACCAGGACAGAAATCTTAATAGAGTAATTCCATTTGATAAGTCATATAGAACGCTACATGCAAGATTATGTGACACTGGTAGTTTTAATGAAAATGCAGGTGGTAGAAAACCAGAAACTGCAACAACGCCTGAACTAGAAGAAGCTCTACTTGATGCGATAGAAGAATATCCTTCAAATAGTACCAGGAAGATTGCACTGAGGTGCCATATCACATACAGTGGGTCTAAACTCTACTGCTTCAGAATTTTCACCCAAGATTAATGTTTTGCAGGTGGTTTATTCATACGATAGTACACAATAATAATTTTTTATCAAATATTTTATTCTCAGACGAAGCAAATTTTTTATGAGGTGCTATTATGAACTTTCACAATGACCATTTTTGGGCCGACGAAAAACTTCACGTAATTGAATTTTCGCTGAACGTTTGGGTAGGAATGATTGGTGACTACATAATTGTTCTTTCTTTCTTACCAGTAAGATCAACAGGTAAATCCTACACGGACTTTTTGCGAGACCATTTACCCATTTTGTTAGAAGAAGTGCCGGTACTTGTGGGATACAACATGTGGTTTATGCATGACGGGGCTCCAGCTCATTTTAGTGTTTTTGCTCGTCAGCATTTCGATATCACCCACCCCTAATCGCTGGATTAGACGTGCAGAATCTCGAAATTGGCTAGCTCGTAGTCCTCTAGATTTCTATTTATGGGATCATCTGAACGCTCTTGTTTATGAAATTCCTTTACTAGATGTGAATGCATCGACTGCAGTCGTGTATTTTATCAGAAGATGGACATTCTGCTCATTTACTTTGAGGTCGAAATTGATTATTATTTACTTTTGGTTTTTATTTCATGTTGTCCATGGATAGTTTTTAGGAGTGATTTTTTTTCTCGGAAACGAAACTTCATACGAAGAAAACACAACGACGAAAAAGTTGTATTTTTAGTTGCTCAATCTAAAGAAATGAAAAACTACAAAAAAGTCTGTGGCGTTCTTTTATTTCCAATATTGTTGGCTGCCGGTGCCCTCTGAGACGACACTGGACCTAATAATTTAAATCTAGTTCAGGCTAAATGAGCGCCTTATTACTTCAAATAACTGTAGCAAATTTCTATCAAATCGGTGAAAGAATATTTATGGTATTTTATGAATATCATTTTTTTTAAACTTCAACGCCCTCTATCTGAGAAACGAAGCAACTTCGGACATATGTTCATTAATTTTTTTTTATTGAAAGAACCTAACGAATCACCTTCTGGAGTTTTGCACCGTAGTTAGGAAACACCCTGTATAGAATGAAAAACACTTTCTTTCCCAAAACATTATTCACTCACAAAAATATACTCTTTCAATTTAACCCTGTATAACATTCTGATTCGACCGTTACTTGATGAAGGTCCAGAGTGATTTCATAAACTACAGCTCACGATTTGATCTTCACACACTTTTTTTTCAAAAATATATCACATATATGATTTCGTATACTTTTCAAAATAAAGTTTGTGAAGATCAAATCGTAAGGTGTAGTTTATGAAAATAATAATATACAACTACTGAAAATCGCATAAATAAAATCAAACTTTGAATTCAATTTCCTATATTATTTGTTCATTATATTCAATAAAGAAAAAATACCTCTCTGTGGAAACATGATTATTCTAAATAAGGGTCGAATAAGAAAAAACCATGTTCAGCAATTAATGAAGACTCATCATGGGGTTTTGAAAAGGGTGTTTTCTAAAGGGCTCAATCAAAATCAACTCTTTTTCCAAATGGGAGCTTCTTTCCTGATCATTTCCTCAATGTTCCAAAACTCTTGTCGGTCCTTGAATTGTTGTAAAGTGATGTCATGGAGTTCGCTCGCAGACGGAAGGTCACCACCGTAATCTTTTGGCAAACACTTTTTTGGAGCTATTTCAAACATTTTCTCTTGTTCGATACCTGGCGAGTGAAAATGAACCTGAAAATTATTATTATATAACGTCATTTTTATTTATATTTATCTTCAAAATATTTACCAAATCCATCAGTTCACTCTTCATAAATACTTTTATCAGGGCTAAAATTTTATCTATAAAATAAACGCTATTCAAAATATGAATTTCCTTCATTCTTAGGGGAAGAGCTTCCTGTAAGAAAGAGAAATATTTCTTAACTGCTCCAATTTTTAATTTTGTCATATGCATCAAGCCAAACTGAAAAAAAAAAACAATTAGTATTTAATTAATCGTGCTTTGATATACTCGTATAACAAAATGAAAACGACCTGTTTTGATGTATTTGTTTTCGAATTGTAGCAGACGTACTGATTGTTATTAATTAATTCATAATATCATTATTAGTATTCCTTTAGATGATTTGAATGTAATATTGAATCTATTTCTATACATTTATTCACGCGATCGACTGGAAATTCAAACTATGGATGTCAAAAGCAAGGGGGGATCCAAAATTTCAACGTCGACTACCGAATAAAAACTCGTGTTTTGTAACCTTTCTAAGAGGAGTTGTCAGCGCTATTTTTGTTAAGGGTGGTTTTTCTTAGGACAGCATGAATTCAAATGTTACATTCATGATTCGGCCTAATATTACTGATTTACTTATTTATTTCAATAACTTGATGGATGTTCCATATATATCATATATATCATATATATCAATGGCTTCAAGTCCATATTCCACGGACTTGAAGCCATTGAATATAACATTTTGACGCCTGTCAGTGAAGTATGATATAAAAAGTTGGATCAGGGTAAGAGAAAAGCCGTACCTGTACAATTTTGATAGCAGTAATCAATGATCAAGCCTGTCAAACGCCTTTGAGAAGTCCGTATATATGACATCAGTTTGGGATCTTCTATGAATGGTTTCAGAGATATATTGGGTAACATTGAAGATGTTGGTGATTGTTGAGCGACCTTTCATAAAACCATGTTGAAGTGGTGTAATTTGATTGTTCAAATGAGGATATAACCTGCTATAGATGATGATTTCAAACACTTTGGCAACGTTGCATATGATTGATATGGGTCTATAATTGGCCGAACTTTAGATAACTTCCATAGATCTGCGATGGTACTAGTTTTGATGCAGATATTTATTAATATTGTCTAAGGACGAGCCAAAACATATGCATAATCTCTGAAAATCAGGGCAGAGATGCTGTCGGGACCTGTTGTCATTTTCGGTTTTATCTGTTTCAAAACAACCAACACTTCATTTTCTTCGAAGAAATAAATGTTCAAGACTTGTGAATATGGATGTTCATCGCTCAATTTGGTTGGAGAGCTGGTGATATATGCAAAGCTATTGAGAATATCTAAAGGAGTATCTAAAGATTGTTCTTCGTTGGACATTCTGTCCGAAATGCTGGTAGTACCTTTTTTGTTGTTTATATTTGCCCAGAATTTATTTGGATTCTCTTTGATGCCATGTTCAGCAGATTTGACAAATTTTTTGTACGCGTTGTCCACGTCGACTTTATCTTTGCCATCAGACGCAGAAATTATTCCCGGACAGCAATATCACTGATGCTTGTAAATAAACGCCACGACTTAGCCTTTAGAATTTGCTGAATAATTTCATTGTCGAACCACGGCGGATATTTACGCTGGAAGTTACTAGTTCGTAAGGGTACACATTGATCCGGTATGTTAAAGATTTTCCCGTAAAAATAAGTACAAGCATCATTTGATCTATCGAAAACTTCAAGAGTGGTTCAGTCAATGCTTGCAAAAAGTTCGTACATACGCGGAAAGTTTGCTTTTCTAAAGTTGTACTCATTATTACAAGAGGTGGCGAAGTTTCTTTTCAAATTACGTATAATATTCGATTTGCAGTATATATTCAAGGCGACACTTGAAAGTATAATGTACATATCGTTTGACAAAGAAGGAGGGACATAAATACTGATCATAAATAACGAATTCGAATCAGAAATTATTTTCACCATAACCATGTCTACAGAGACTAATACTTGAGGAATGAAGTGTTAAATCATCTCGTGAAGAGGCGAACGAATCAGCAACTGCAATAAGAGCTCTTTCAGCTTTTGAGCAATTGCATTCAGAGAATTTTCTATCAGAGCGGTATACCTCATAGCAGTTAGGGAATAACCGAGTGGTCCAACCATGTTTCTGTCAGTGCAACAATCGGGAATCCAGTCATCGTAATTGAGTTGAAGAATTGGGCTGTTTTAGATCGCAGACCACGGATATTTTGATAATAAAATGTTGTGTAGTTCTCATTTCGTAGGGTAGAATCATGGGAGGACGCAGATGATCTAAAGCCTCATGAGATGAGGGTGATTGTTACAGACAGCTAAGTACATTATTTTTGAATTTTTCTATTGCAGTTTGGTAAGCAGTACATTTTTCCTTTCTTTTCCCACACCGCATGATCTTTTGCAAGATTGATGAGACTTATTGCAGACAGAAACAGCGTTATTCAATAAAATCTTAAAAAAAACCTTTTTCCTTACACTAGGGTCTAGATTCATGACCTTCACTTCCTTGAATATTATCATGTTATTAAGAAACATTTTGTATATCAACAATTTTCAATTTCGACAATTCAAAATGACGATAACTTGATAACCTTCGTTTATTTATTAAACTCTCAATTGATAACTTTTCCTATCATCAATAATAACAATATACAAAAATTCAATACTTAAAATCGATTCACTTACCCCTTTCATATCTATCAGAACAATGAGTCCAGGAGGTGGATTTTTTTCATGAGTTACATCCATTATCATATACGAAACTTTCATAGCTTGTACTAGGTCAAAATTGTTATAGTTGCTATCATTCAATTTGAAATAGTGGATTACATCACCTTCATCTGTTCGAACTGGTATACTAGAAAGGTGACTGAAACAGATAGATTCATGTGTTTTTCGATATATTTCACGAACGTTTTCTATACTCTACGTTTCTTTTTTCAATTCATATATGGAAAGAAGCATAATGAAATGTGTGGCCAAATGAAACTTTCACTTTTATATTTATTAATATTATTCAAAAGAAGCTTTTTTCCTAATCACCATAAATGCAAACTCTTCTCGATACGCATTTCACCAACCAATTTGACATCTTCTGGAAATGAAGCTTTCTTCATTTTCTGAAGACACCAACTGGATTGGTGAAACGCCCGTCGAAAAAAGTATTGCACTCTGGTGATTGGGAAAAGTGATTGTTTTGGATTCATTCTATGCCAGAGATTGCAGTTTCACCTTGTATCAATATTATTGTTGAGAAAGTTTAGTAAACAAGTTTGTAGTAAATATATTTGACGATGACAAGTGAACATCTCAAATCCAAGCTGCACTGAAAAGTTATAATCATGGTAATAGCAGCTGAACAGAGTTGGTTCCATTTCGAGTACCATCTCATATTTTCCAGAAACTGAATACCTGGTCGTGATGATACGAAAAACTTGCTTTGGACATAATTTGAAGTGGCGTGCGGTTCATCAAACTCATAAACTACTATGATGTGAAATGTTTAACTATCACATATTTGAGATGGAGGAATAATCCATCAGTTTCGTCAGGAATCACCAAATAGCTGACAAGAAACCAGTCAATCTGGATCGATACGTGTCTATACAGATTTTCGACGTTATTCCCAAACCTACACATGTCATACCAACTAGTTTCGACTTCGAAATGAAGATTGGAGTGCTTCTAACCAGCCAAACAGGCACATTATATGAGGCGTATCTGGATTGGAATACGTTAGGTATGCAGTGTCATTGCTTTTCGACTTTGAAAGCCGTGGATTTTTGGAATTTCTTCCTGACGTTCCGCTGGCGCGAGTGGCTAGCTTCTTCAGAGGTTTAACCATCATGACTTGCTGTCCGATGACTACCTTTTAGGCTTCGTAAAGCGTATTTATGCCTTGTCAGGTAATCCGTTGTATTTGTACCTGTATCTGTACCTGTATTTGTACCTGCATTTGTACCTGTATTCGTACCTGCACTTGAACCTGGAACATTAACAATCTTGCTGCCTGTTGTCCTGTTCGTTATTCTCGAATTCCTTAAAATGGGGTTCCATTCGATCTCAGGGTCACTTCAAGGTATTTCAGTTCCCTCTCCAGATGTTCTGGTTCACATATTCTCCGAGCATGTTCCGGAGAATATGTTCGAATGGATACAGTGCCTCCGAGACCAGAAAAGACATGAGACCGAAGGGCACCACAGTTCAGAAAGCGAAAAAGGATCGGATGGTTGCACGCGCATATCTACCGTTTATCCCTAGGGTCACGGATAGAATTGGAAAACTATTGGACAAAAAAGACCCATTATTAGCGGCAGGGGTCTATCGCATACCGTGCACTTGTGGAAAGATATATATCGGAACCACCAAACGATCCATGGGAACAAGACTAAAAGAGCATAAAAGGAACTGCAGACTAGGCCAAACAGACAAGTCAGTTGTGGCAGAACACGAACTGAGTGAAGGAGACCACAAAATCTTGTTTGAAAACACAGAACCAATTGCCCCCAACCAGGGATACCATAGCCGACTGGTACGGGAGGCAATAGAGATCCACAAACATATGGATAATTTTAACAGAAAAGAAGAAGCGGCGAGTCTCGATCAAATATGGAAGCCCATTTTAAGGAATTTGAGAATAACGAACAGGACAACATAAATACGCTTTACGAAGCCTAAAAGGTAGTCATCGGACAGCAAGCCAGGATGGTTAAACCTCTGAAGCGCCACTCGCGCCAGCGAAACGTCAGGAAGAAATTCCAAAAATCCACGGCTTTCAAACTAGAAAAGCAATGACAATGAAAACCTCAGCCGTGAAAGTCTAAACCATTTTGTCACGTTAGGTGTGATTCGAACTTAGGCTCTGTAGCCTAAACTGATTTGGGATTGCAAAACCTTCTCGAGACAACTAATAGCGAGATATTGAGTAACTTTGAAGTGGCCCGGTTCATAAAAAAATCAAAGCCGATGAAGAATGAGATGAAACTGGAATAAGAGAGAATCAAGTAGAAAGTTTAAGAAGAACTGAATAGGAAGACTTGAAATGGGTAATGACAGTTTTGGAAGAACAGTCCCAACTGAGATATTACCTCCGTAAAATGACGGGTAGATTTCGATTCACTTGCTTCGCGAGTATAGGTACCAAGTTCTAGCAAATGGTTTGAGATCTTTGAACAGATATTAAAAAGTGAGCGAAAAAAAACTGATCAACTTTCTCAGAAGTCTCGGGGTTTCTAATCTCAAATAAGCTAGGGGTCGTGGTAAGAGATTGGAAACCAAATATACTTTGAATTTTTTGGTAAAATGTCTATATTCATAATATGGGTTTTTTCATCTTCCTCTTTTCCATTAAATTCTTAGCATAGACCTTTATTCCTATTAAAGTTTTTCAAAGGCTACTAAGATTGTAATCTCTGAAGTACATCTTTTATGTATAGTTGGGACTTCGCTAAAGATGTTTCAGGGTAATTATGGCAATGCAGTTAGTGTACTAATGACATATAAAGTGAATTGATATAGTAAACTTCAAGCGGGGATGTAATTTTCGCTTGTAGAAAAACTTTTACTTATTAGGGTAAAGCTATCAGGCCCATTTTTTTTCGGTCTAATACTTAATAGAAAATAGTTGCAACATTAGGATGTAGTTAGCTTAGGTTAGGTTGGATCCAAAGTGAGTGGGTCTATTTGACCTTTCACCGCAATCCGCAAGGGTTTATTGTGGCCAACACTTATTCACACTTGACCAAATAAACCCAGCTTCTTAACGAAACCGCTTAGTTTGTGTGGTGAGTGGTCTTTTAGGTCAGATGGTAAGAGTACGGCTCTGCCGAACTCTAAAAACTTGATTCGGCCCCAGCGGGGCAGGCACAAAGTATGTGCTCTGCTGTTTCATCATTTTCCAAACAGAGGCGACACACACTGTCTTCCGACAGTCCAAGTCTCTGCATATGATGATTCAAATGACAGTGACCTGTGAGAAGGCCTGTTAGACATCGTAGTTCATGCCTACAACATGTTTGGTATCAAGCTTCGAAGGGTGAATAAACGCCTTGGAGTGAGCCAATTCTGGAAGATTTTGCCGGAAGTCCATAAATCTTCTTGTCATCCAGGTGTTGAATCTTTCTTTGGCAAAGCTTGAGGCTTCAGGTTCTGGTCCAATGAAGCTGCTTGCATCACCCTCCTTTGCAAGGGAGTCAGCAGCCTCATTGCCTTCCAGGCCAGGATTGCGAGGAATCCAGACCAGAGACAATCTGTTGAGTCTTCCTATCGAGGAGAGTCGTTTTTGACGATTTTCTACCAATTTAGACTTGCTCACCGGATACGGAAAGTGTTTTTGATCCGTCTGTGAACCAACAACTATCTAGGATGTAGTAGTATCTACTTCCTTTTCATTCAGCGATTTTATCAAGGCCACATATATTGTTGATGAAAATATGTAACTTTCTCTTGATATGCAGGACTTCAAGAGTCCAAAGGCCACTGAATGGGTTAGACCTGAATCGCTTAGACCAGGGGTCGGCAGCAAGTAGTTTTGGGTGGGGTCCGGATTCTGTGGGAAAATTTTAACGAGGTCCAGAAAAAACAACGGACAATATTTAGGTACTACCTATGTATTATCTTGGTTTAAAATCAAATTCTGGATTATAAAACACAAGACCTAAAATTAATGTGATAAACTACACTGACGGTCTTGAGTCAGTTTTTTATAGTTTGTTTCTCGATAGGAACAGCGAATTCAAGTGTATTTTTTAGGTGGGCGTCCGTTAACCTCGAACGATATATGTTTTTCAAAAAATCCAATTTTGAGAAAGATATTTCACATACCTATGTGAGCCAAACAAAGTGGCGGCCAAATTTATAGCTAGTTTCTTGCAATATTTATGTTTGGCCCAAAATTCTTCAGTGGATACCGTTTTATACATTTGCAAAGACATATCTTCTTGCAAATCAATTATCTCTATTTGAAGTGATGGCTTTGAAAGATTCAACAACTTGGCAGCCACATCTGTCCATTCTGCCGCATCATCAACTAATTCGCATTCACACACAGGCTAGACGAAAACTAATCAAACCATATTAGTTGTAGGTGCTTGTAAAACAGGTTAACTAGGCAACTTATTAAAGCAAAATAAGTTCTAAGTTAAATTATATGCGTGACTCAAAAATATTATTATAATTAATAAAGGAATATCTACGTATTAATTTACATTTGCTATACAACACATTACATTATTTGGCGGTCCGTGGTTCAACCTTTCGCGGTCCGCCTGTTGCTGACCGTTGGCTTAGCTTACAACTGGTCAGTGCAAGGTGGTTATTTATCTCATCTCTATCACTTTTGCGAAATTCTTTTTCAAGCTGCGATCATGAACGATCATGAATGAATTGATATTTATTTATCTCATCTCTATCACTTTTGCGAAATTCTTTTTCAAGCTGCACGTTCGTCAAATCGAATTGGCATTATTGAGAGATGATCTGATCTAATCGGTGGATTGATTTTATTTCACTTTTTTAATCTTTTGATTGATGAAGTGACATATATAATTTGTGTGGAAATATGCAAACAAAGAATATATTTTTCAGTCAACTTTTCTCTACTTACATTGTATTCAATGCGGTTTGCAATTCGCTTCTCTTTAGATTCCTGTCGTCAAAAATTTCAGGTGCATGTTGCTTCAGTTTGTAGTAGCTAAGTATTGTTTTTTTGGTTAGTTCTATATTATTGACGCAAGAGATCAGAAACAACACCAACAAATGATCTTGAATATTTGGTGGCAAATACTCATCATTCAAAGTCAACAACCAAGTTTTTATAGTCTCCAGATCTTCTTTAGTGGTCATACCTTTCGCGAAGATATCTTCAGGTGTCCACTTATAATCTAGTTCCATGGTTATCTGAAAAACATTGAAAAATCAGAAGTTTTGGGAGTGATGTTGACATTGGTTGCAATAACCATATGGTGAAAGCTTGATTGCATTTTGAATGAGTTCACGTTGGAGTTGAATCACATGCAATGGAATACGATTAATGTATATAAAGTATATAAAGTTGATAATTTTCACATATTGAACTTATAGGACATGTGCAAAGCAGGAAAACGAAGAATTGTAATGAATTATTATTCAAACTATTCAAAATGCTACTGATAAGAAGTTTTTATACGTAACCTTATAATTTACTTGAGATTGGAAGTGATCCACAGTAGTGAAATCCAATTTCAATTCCTTTTTCATTATTTCGTTATGAAAAGATTTTCTATGAATGAAAAAGTTTCTTGTACAAATTGGGAGGAAAGGGACTTAAGATAGACCTTTTCTTCCAATATGTATGTTAAAAAAACATCTGTGATCTTACTTTCATCTATACTCATCTTCTCAAAAAGTTTTTATCATTTTCATTCGATTCTATTGAATTTCATTCATTTTATTCTTTGGACAATTTGTTTTATTTTTCATTTTCTCATGATGTGGTATTGAAAAATACATATAAATCTCAATTTTTACCCTTCTATTACCAAACCCCTCATCAAAAATCAGTTATTCTCGCTAGCCGTCTACCGGTGACACTTTTCACAGCACGGAGTAGGGATGAGAACAAAGCCGGTCTCCTGTCTCTCTCACATAATAAGTCGTATCTCACTGCCTACACAGTTTTCGGCCACTATTATTGTTTATTCATTGTTTATTGTATTGCACCACGGCTGTGCAACTGCACGCGATCAGTCATTAAAACATTAATGAAAAACGTCGAAGCCAGCATTTTGAATTGCTAATTCCGAAGTGAAAATATATTAATACCACGAATCCCCATTATACCTACAGATGTGCCAATTCGTTTTAAACGTGTGCAATTCCCAATTAGATTGACATTTACAATGACTATCATTAAGTCCCAAGGCCAAATCGTTTGTGGCTTGGATTTGAACACACCATGTTTCTCACATGGACAATTATACGTGGCATGCTCTCGAGTGGGCAAACCATCCAACGAAAAATGTTGTACACACTCTAGCATTAAGGAATTTGTAAGTCTTATTGTTCTGAAAGAAATAATTTATGTGGTGAAACATCGTTTGCCGGGTCAGCTAGTTTTCGTATAAAATTTTGCCCAATTCGTCTTACTCAGTGATGAAAATTGTACATATTGTATCTAAGGAAAATCTTCTGGAAACTCTTCTACGACAGCCATAATGGCATAATGGAAAGAATGCACTTGATTTTGCCTCTGAGGCTTTTTAGCCTCTGGTTTGGGTGAATAATCGTTTGAGTGCAAGCGTTTGCTAAGCAGGAAAGTTTGTTTCTTCTTCTGATGCAGATCATGCTTCCATTGCTCAAGAATTTGGTGCAAGGCAGATTCATAAGATATTCTGCTATTTACGAGTAGAGGTCAGTCGGTAGCCAAGCGGTTCGGCGTGGGTGCTTTGTTCACTCACTCGAATTGACTGCCGTGTTGGTCGGTGGTTCAAGCCCTAGTCTGAACGATCGATCTTCACTTGCTACCGTCCAACCCGTGTTAGGAATCACACATTAAAAGGTAAGACTTCGTTAATCCTTAGCTCGCACAAGTTTCGACTTCTGAGGGTTGTCGTTCGTAGGGGTGCGACAGCTGGTTAACGGAAAAACAGATTTTAAACAGATTTTACAGATAGAGAGAGGAGGTTCATCAGGACAAAGCCTCACATTACCGTGATAAGTATTTATACGACAAAATAGCGTATGTCTGGTATATCTGAGGTTCCATTAAAGACACTGCCGTGATTTGGTACAGATACCAAAACCTTCGGATGGGGCGTCATTCCGGAGGACTTCCACAAGTGACCTTATTCTAACGCCTCCTTCTGCACAGTGAAGAATATCTATGGTACGGGAACAGTTCAGAAAATGGGTCAATGTTGAAGATGGGAAACTACTCAGTTTGATTTCATGGCTACTCACATTGGCCAGTGGGGCAGAGACAGCTCGTTATTTTTCGAGACATAAACTCCCATCAGGCAACCATTTTACGAATAATCCAAATTATATCCAGAAAATTATCAAAACGAATGAGTGTCATAAAAAGATTGAAAGAAAAGAGTAATTCGTGCATTAGGCTGTATATTTTTCCGGAATAAAGAAGAAATGGACGAACTTGGCGGCTACCAAATCGAAAAAACCTATCTATCTAGAAAAACCTATCGTATTTTGAATAATAAATGTTATAATTGCAAACTTACCTTCTGAAAAATTTTGAGAAGTACCTACTCAAAAATTCAACACTTTCAATTGAAATTTTAAAATTTTCAATAGGTCTTCATGTAATATAAATGTTTCCTTTTGGAAAAGAGTGTTATTCAAATTGACATGAATTCCGTTTAGCGGTTTCTGTTGCGATTTAGCGTGGATGTCATGTATATTTTGTTCATAAACTGTTTAGTTATTTCGAAAGAATACCTGATTTCTTATTACACCACCTTCCACACTTGAACCATAATGCTGAACGACTATCCTTTATTTGTAATGGTTTGTTTTCTTCACTCAAATATAAATATATCCAATTACTACTTCAATCTGTCCTCGAAAAATGCTGTTCAACAGTTTTTATTTCTATAATATATCTAATGTTTCAACAAGAATATTGATCCCGACGAATGAAAAGATGAACTTGGTTATGTAATAATCCAAAGGATACATGAAATATCTCATTAGTTCTTTTACTATATTGTTATGTCAACAAAATTAAAACTAATGACGAGATGTCATGCAATATACTGGAAATGTTATCATTAGAACAAATATATAAATGATGTTTGTGGTCTACACAAAAACAAAATTTTTTTAGGAAGATTAATCTTTCAAATAACTCATATTACTTGTAACGTAAAGAGGAAAATTACTCACCATAAATTCATGTAGTGTCAATAAATATAACAACTTTTAAAACCGCACTCTCATTGCCAAGTGAAAAGTGAACAGATCGAACGTATTGTCACTATTCAATTGTTACCTATTTGCATTTGTAATTATTTTTGTGATTTACATAGAATGAATCAAATACTACACCAATGCACGGAATATTGTGATTGAAAGAGTTTAATAAAACTGTAGCGAAGAATTTCGTCTGTGACAGTAGAAGTGAAACTGGTTGGATAAAAAAAAAACTCTTGTTTATCGAGTATCATTTATTTTTCAACCTCACTATCGGCATGGGTTGCTCATAATACACGTTATTGTTATTTCGAAATCATCAGGGCGGGTAGCTGGTAGGTGATTTGTAAAAACAGAAAATATGTTAAATTTAATATTATTATGAGAGTTCAAAGTTGGTACTAACACACCTACTGGGGATGATATTAGTGTTTGCAACATTTGTCATCAATAGATATATACTGAATTACACTATTTGCCATTTTGTTTTCTTTTCAAGTACCCCCTGGAGAGAGAACCCAACTCACCCTCTCGTATAGATTAGGTTAGGTCGAAAGTGAGTGGGTCTATTCGACCTTCCACCGCAACCTGCAAGGGTTTATTGTGGTTCACATCTATTAACACTCGATCAAATAAACCCAGTTTTTTAACGAAGCCGATTAGTTTGTAAGGTGAGTGGTCTTCAGGTTAGATAGTAAACTCTGAAAATCTTATTCAGTCCCCAGTGGGGCAGGCACAAAGTATATACTTTGATGTTTCATTTTCCAAACAGAGACGACACACACACTCTTCCGACAGTCCGAGTCTCTGCATATGATGTTTCAGATGACAGTGACCTGTGAGAAGGCCTGTTAGGCGTCGTTGTTCATCTACACGCTAGTCCACAATTGTTTGGTATCGAGCTTCGAAGGGTGAATAAACGCTTTGGAGTGAGTAAATCCTGGAAGATTCTGCCGGAAGTCCATAAATCTTCTTGTCATCCAGGTGTTCAATCTTCGTTTGGCAAAGCCTAGAGCGATGCCAATGACAGGTTCTGGTCCGATGAAGCTGCTTGCAGCACCCTCTCTTGCAAGGCAGTCAGCAGCCTCATTGCCTTCCAGGCTAATATGGCCAGGAATTCAGAGCAGAGACAATCTGTCGAATCATCCTATCGAGGAGTGTCTTTTTGGCCATTTGTTACCAATTTTGACGTTGCTCGTTAGGAGCCAAGAGCTTCCAACCCTGCTTGTCTGTCCAGGAATATTTTTATTGACTTGTGTATGAGGTTGGATTCTTCAAATCCCTCGGCACATTATTGAGTAGCATACATTTTCGCTTGAAATACAGACAACTGCTCCCTCAGACATCAACTGTTAACAACGTCCATTATGCTTTGCAGGATATTACAAGCTACCCTTCCGGACGTGTACCTTACCAAGATGACGAGGTCACCTGCATATTCTTGCATGCAGGGCATCAATCAGCCTATCCATCAGGAGCGACCACAGAAGGGTAGATAGCCTCTGGTGACCCTCAAGGTGGAGTACTCGCCTTGAGTCGTAGTTGCAGTTCTGTTTACCAGCATGGCATAGATCCAGCCAGTTATAGTCGATTATATGCCATTCCTGGCCAGGGATATCCGTATAGATTTGGGTAAAGCATTCTCAAATGCTCCTTCAATATCGAGAAATACAGCAACCGCAATCTTCTTGTTGTTAAGGTATTGAAAAATTTTCTCTACAAGGTTGTTTAAGGCTAAATCTATCGATTTGTCGGTTTGAAATGCCTACTAGTGGTTATTCAGGAAAGCTACATATAATGCCACCCTTCTGTGTCCATCCTGTATACTCTCAACTCCTTTCAACAGAAGGATGTAAGTCTATTGGTCGTACCGATTTAGAGTGTGGGTGTTTCGGACCTACTTCAGGTATATATACCACCCTTACTTCCAACCAACTGGGTGGTATACAGTTCCACGTCAGACTTGCTCTATACAATTTTATGAGAATAGGTAATAGTTATTTATGTATCAAGGGAATTGGGAGGGCCTTAATTACCGATGGCAAAGTTTGCGTCCCGAGGGCCTCTGGCCCGAGGGACAGCAATTGCCTGAGGTTATTAAGGCTCATTAATTCCCGTGGTACATAGATAATTTTATTTCTGACCGATTTCAATAAAATTTTGTTCATTGTTGAAACGGAAAAATGTACCAATTCATTACCTTCCCGGTATATTTGAATCAGGTACCGTTGATTATAGTAGAGTTTTCTTGTTGCTAGGTTGTTGCTATGTTACTTGTTTATAAACAGAACTTTGTTATCAAGCTGTGTTTGCGGTGAAAACGTGTTTTCTACCCCAAATATAATGGAGGATATTTTGAAAAAAGCTGAACAAGCAAGAGAATCATTAATTCCATCGAAAAGTGAAGCCGTATACCAAAAAGAATACAAGATATATCTGGACTGGCTGACACGGAAAAATGTTATGCCAAAAGATGTCACTGAAACTGTATTTCTGGCATAGAGGGAATTATAAAATCTATAATGTCCCAAGGGAGTTATGACCCTCTTTATTGATAGCGTAACTATGACGATATAAGCTTATAATATCTCGGTCAGAAATAAAATTATTTCCATTCCTCTTGTATAGTCATGAACTGAAATTTGTTAAATAAACGAAAAGCTTTCAAAAACAAAGCGATACCCCATTAGATCCAATAGGATGTGTACAGAAATTTATTTCAACGATTTTACAGCACATACACAACATGCAAAAAACAAATTAAGATACAAAATTTTTCATCGGTAACCGAAAAACTATTAAAACCTACTTGAAAAAATAAAAAATATTCTGAAAGAGGAGGAAATTATCAATAAAAAAAAGTCCGGACTCTTGGCATGGACACAATGCCACTGACGACATGAAATATTTTTTATATGAGTCCGTAGAAAAAAATACCTGGAATTTTCAAAAAGTTACAGTTGCTAAATAACAATTTATGCACTTTTTGGTATGTCCTTGAACTGTCTCAGCGATTTAATTTCTATCTTCCCATCGGCGCGGGGATCAAATATGGTAAATACGGTGGCTGAGCCATGATTATGGTGTTGATTTTGGCCAAGAAATGATGAACATGCAATGATGAGAGAGCAGATGCATCATTGTGATGAAAATTGTTTCTCCACAATACTGGACGTTTTCTTTGTATTTCTTCTCGCAAGCGGAGCACAACTTCAAGATAATACTCTTGCCACATGGCAAGAGCTCCTGGTGCACTTCGTCACGGCAATCGAAAAAAAAAACAGTGGACAAAACCTTGACATTTGATCAAACTTGTCTGTTTTTGTTTGTTTGAATTCCACTGAGGGAATGGATAATGGTGGGATGCAGAAACAAGAGAACTGGAGCATACTTCTTCTGAATTGATCTTCATTGTTCGGAGTACGAACAGTTGAAATGAAAGGAGACTCCCAAATCGACCACAGTTGTTTAATGCATCTCATTTTCTGGTGAAGTACTATATGGTAACTGAGCAAACTTCTGATGATCTTACGCGGTGAGGTATCACGTGACTTGCTGATCTGACCCACATAGAGGTTACTCTTGTATTGGTGAGGTAAGACTTCGTTAATCCTTAGCCTGCATAAGTTTAGATTTCTAAGGGTTGTCATTCGTGAGGGCCCGACAACTGGTTAACGGTGTAATTCTGAGTGAAACATCACCTGTCGATGGGAAGATTTGCTTAACAATCAGCCCTCTTTCATCTTTTTCCAACTGTGAAGCAATTCAAGCCTTATAATTGGTCTGTCGGTCGAATTCTGAGCACTTTCTGAGGCAGCCATAATAATTCTTTGTAGAAAATTCACAGATACTAAAAAACACCAATTACTTCGATTGTAATAACATGTTACACACTGTTGGTATGTCGAAACGTATAAAACACTTGACTTCATAGATAAACTCATCTATGGAATCTATTGAAAACCGTTTTCCCTCACTCTAGGTGTGTTCAGATAACCAATATATAATAAATAAATATTACAAATAATTCAAAGCCTTTTTTATACACCTGGACGAACTATTACCTTCGATAATAAGGGTCATCATATGAATGCCATTGAATGAATCTCCTGGTATTCAGTTGTTATTGTATTTCAATTCCCAATTTATGAAACAGTGACTACTTGTTATGATACCTAATAACTGGTTTCTACTTGTATGTATTTCGTGAGAGAGTAAACAAAGAGCTGTTCAGATCTCATTCCACATTTTTCAATTTATAAACTTTGGAAGGCATCTGAAAAAGCCTGTACAGGTTCCATCAATTATTTTCACTCACTTAGTCTATGGCCTTTCTCTAAGGTATGTTGGGCAATACTGGACTCAATACTGCCTCACCGAATACGTGAAATATGTTTCTCATAATGAGTAATTATAGTTCCTTCAGTTTGACCAACATACTTTTTGTCACAGCTTGATTCGTAAATAACAGACTTTTTTTTTTCTGTCTTTCTATCTTTCGTGGTGCCCAACACTTGTTGAAATTTACGAGCAGTTTCGAGAGACACGTTCATCTATTTATGTATTTTGTTTCATATAAAAGAACTGTGAGGTAGGTAGGTCCCAAGTGTGTGGGTATATTCGAATCACAACTTCAACCCGCAATGGTTTATTTTTTCTAACACCCATTCAAACTCATCTTCTCAACGAAACCGTTTACTTGATTTGGTGAGTGATCTTTCTGGTCAGATGGCAAGGGTGAAACTCTGTAGAACTCTGAAAATCTGATTGGGTCTACATCAGGGCAGGTACAAAGTATGTGGCTCTGATGTTTCATCATTTGGTAGATTTTGCCAGAGATCTGGAACTCTTCTTGCACTCCAGGTGTTCAATGTCCAATGTTCAACTTCCTTACAAAGGAATCATCAGTTTCATTACCGTTCGGACCAGTGTCGTCAGGATTCAATTCTTTGAGTCTTCCTACTAAGGAGAGATTTTTTTGGCACTGCACTACCAACTTTGACGTTGCTTGGTGAGAGTCAAAAGCTTACAATGTTGCTTGTCTGTCTGTCTTGTCTGTCTGTCTGTCTGAATATTGGTATTCATTTGTGAGGTTGGTTTTGGCCATTCTCTTCACACACACACATCAGTGGGGTAGATTTCCTCTTGAAAGTCAATCGCATGGGCAGGTTGATAGCTCTCTCCTGGATATGTAACTGTACCTGAACCTGTAGGTATACTGTTTTATCTGTGAACCAACAGCTATCTGTCCTGAGTATTTTTCTCCCGAAATTGAAGACATTCCCATAATGCTGTGACTTTCAGTGTCGGGTGGTAGTCTACCACGTTCCGTATGAGCCTGTTTTGTGCAATTGGTAATATGCACAATTCTATATGTTGTCCATTTAACCTCTTCCTCACTCCAAAAAGATGTGGGGAAGGTCAAGAATGATTTTCATGGTCGCTGATGGTGTACCACGAATTTCTTTGGGGCCTAAGCCCGAAGGCTTTCCACAAAACTTTCGACATGTCTAAAGGGATAGTCTGGATTTAATGAATCGCCTTTTCCAAATGAGCGATCTAGATGATTTTTTCGTCAAGTAATATACATAGATATTTCGCGTCCGCTGCAAAAGGAATAATCTCACCCTTGAAGAAAAGTGAATTCATCAAGATTTCTCATCCTGGTGAAAAGGTCTAATACAGTTTTGCTGGAGTTCCCAGACAACTAGGTCGGTAGCCAAGCGGTTCGGCGCGGGTGCTTTGTTCACTCACTCGAATTGACTGCCGTGTTGGTCGGTGGTTCAAGCCCTAGTCTGAACGATCGATCTTCACTTGCTACCGTCCAACCCGTGTTAGGAATCACACGTTAAAAGGTAAGACCTCGTTAGTCCTTAGCTCGCACAAGTTTCGACTTTTGAGGGTTGTCGTTCGTAGGGGTGCGACAGCTGGTTAACGGAAAAACAGATTTTTAAACAGATTTTTTTTAAACTGCTTCTTCTGGCACCAACAATGAACATTGTCCAGCAATCTTTGGAGGATATTACAGGCTACTCTTTCGACGTGGTTTTTACCCGGATAATAAGATCATAAGCATGAGCTTCCAGATCTACTTCTCTTCGATCAAGAATATCAAACATACTATCCATCAGGAACACCCCTGTTGATCATTGATTCAACAAATCATGGTCGATCCGAAAGATTTAAGTAGTGCAATTGTCTAATGCTCCTTTGATATCGAGAAACACGGCCGGCCCAGTATTTTCATTGTTGACGGATCGGATGATTATCTCTTCAAGGTTATGTTATTTGAAGAAAACAGTTTTCTCTTACCAGAACACCCCGTCTTTCGAAGTACATTTCGCTAACCAAGTCAGCATCATCAGGAGATGAAAAAATTATGTAATGCCAAATTTTGCCAGTTGTCGATGTCATATTCCTCTTTGATCTCATTTGATGACTCTAATTATCAAAGTAATGTTTCGTCCAGATGTAGTCTGGCTTACATGTACTCGGTTTAGCTCGTTTTGGTGACATTTTTCAGCCCTGTCCAAAAATGACGACCAAGGTGTCATTCGATTTGTATTTTTGTCTAGAAAGTTTAAGGAAACGTCCGAAAACGCGCCGATAAAAATTACAAATGTTATAAACAGAGAGTGACAGAACTGTCATAGATTCAATGTTTTTTTAAATCTAGCCCTGTTCAATGAATTCTGAGTCATATACTTGATAAATTTAATTTGGAACCTCTGACGAGATAATAAAGCACTTTTCGCTCACCAGAATAAAATTTGCGTCTCTCGATTTGCATTTTGCTTATCAAGTTAACATCATCAGATGACTAAGACTTAATCCAACGGTCGGCAACAGGCGGACCGTGGTCCGTTTGCGGACCGAGAAAAGTCGAACAGCGGACTGCCAAATATTGTAATGTGTTATATACCAAGTATAAAAATTAATACCCACATGAGGTATACTATACCTTTATTAATTGTTTTAATATTTTTAAGCCACATAGAATTCAACTTAGTATGTACTTATTTTATTTCAGATTGCCTAGTCAACCTGTTTTAACGGTACCTACAACTGATATGGTTTTATTAGTTTCCTACCTACCCTGTGTATATGTGTGTTTGTGCGCGCTTGCCACTATTTTGTTTTATTAAAAAAAGCTCGAGCGAGTATCAAAATCGGGGGTGGGGGCAGGTGGGCGGGGGAAGCAGACTGTCAGTCGCAGGACAAACCGCGGAGCAACCATTCATTTGTTTTGTGATTTTTAGCGTTTTCATAATATTTTCGTACCTATGCTAATATAGATTCTAAAAAGCGTGAAGCGGACAATGAAAATAGGAGGTTTCTGACAGAATGGACTGAACAATATTGTTTTAGGCCTCAAGCGGTTCCAGTGTGCCTTAAATGCAATACAACTGTCGCTATTCTTAAGAGTGGTAATTTGAAGCCCACTACCGAACAACTCATCAGCAATTTCTCAAAAACTTTCCTCTTGGCAGTAAGGCTCGTAAAGAAAAACTTCAATCTCAGTTATCACAAAAAAAAGCACAAAATTACTAGTTCGTTGCATAAAAGAGCAAGAAAAATCCAGCTGGATATCTTTAAAAAATATATTGCTAGACAAGAATTTATTCGTATTCCGAAAATTCTGTAATATAGGGAAAGGCCGGGAAAAGTGAATACACTGGGCAAAGCGACTACTCCTACTACTCTTAACTTATTTGTGCGTGGTTCAACACGCCACCACTGTAACGTTCGGCCATCTTGGGCCAGTACGTAGAAAACACCAGAGCGAGAGACGCGTCGCGTGCCGCCGACAGAGTGGAGATTTTTATTTTTGTGAAAAAAAGATTAATTTTGCAAGGCAAGTACATATTGATATCATTTCCTATTATTAGTTCTTGACCATGAGACATATTTTGACTCGTTAGCTTATTTAACTAGGTTTTTATAGTATATTTAACATACTGTTAGAATCATTGGGTTTTTTCAATGAAACGTGTTAACCTCAAAAATTACCCAGTCGGGCAAAGTGGATAGGGCAAAGTGAATATGGTATCCACTTTGCCCGTAATTTGTGATTATTGACTTACGATCTCATAATGTCCTATATTTGTTTCAGATGGTGAATAAATATGAAAAAAAACTATACAAGAGTCGTGGGATAAAAATGTCATGCAAACGGCTATCAATTTGTGCAAAGCTGAAGAATCAATAAAGAGCACAGCTAAAAAGTATCTATGGGTTGGCATATGCAACCTTGTACAGACATGTGAAAACTGGCAGCGCGGCACCAAAACTGGGCCGATTCCGTCCTGTTTTTACCGAAGATCAGGAGATAGAGTTAATAACATATCTCAAAGATATGGATTCTGTATTATTTGGCCTGACTCGAGACGAGTTTGAAAATTCAGCATTCATCTACGCTAAGAAAAATAATTTGAACTACCCGAAAAATTGGGACAAGTACGAAAAAGCTGGAGATGACTGGCTATCGTCGTTTTTGTCACGTCACAATCAAATTTCCCTCAGGACTCCAGAAGCAACATCGGTTGCAAGGGCGAAAGGATTCAATAGACGTGAAGTTGGACGATTTTATGAAAATCTTGAAGCTTTGACTGTGAAATACGATATTGATGCCTCTAGATTATACAACATGGATGAGACTGATATATCAAACACTACTAATAAGTCACCTAAAGTGATATCAATAAGAGGAAAGAAACAGGTGGGCATAATTGCTAGTGCAGAACGTGGTCAATTAACGACGGTCATTGGTTGTTGTAATGCTGCTGGTTCGTTTCTACCTCTATTTTTAATTTTTGCCAGGAAAAATATGCAGCCCAGATTACTTGATGGTGCGCCTCCTGGCACTCAAGGAATCTGTACTGCAAATGATTGAACTTGAGGTGAGGTATTCCTTGATTGGATGCATTTTTTGTGGAACATGTTCGACCTACCCCTGAGAAAAAATACTTCTATTGGACAACCACGAGAGCCATAAGTATTACCCAGCTTTGGAATACGCCAGAAAAATAACGTCGTAATTTTATCCTTGGCCCCACATGCAACTCATAAAATGCAGCCCATGGATATATCCGTTTACGGCCCATTAAAACCATATTTTGAAATGGAGATGAATGTTTTTCAAAAATCAAACCCAGGACGAATTATAAATCAATATGATGTGGCCAAACTGTTATCACCGGCATTTTAGAAAAGTGCAGTAGCTCTAAATGTAGTCAATGGGTTTTTAATAAATATGCTTTTGGTGACGAAGATTACGAATCAGCCGCCGTGATCGCAAGCACATCTAATATGAATATTCACACAAAAGTCACAAACTCACTAGAAAATATCGATACTCTCGGACCTTCTGCAGAAACTTCGTCAACCCCTTGAACTTCACTTCTTCAAGAACTTATTTCTTCGAATCTAATCGATCCTTTAGTCAAAATAATTAATTCCATGTCCGAGCAGTCCAGCAGAGTTCCCCCATTTGAGCTTTAGGCCTTTGTTACGCCAATTGTTAGCTGAAGTAAATATTCAACAAAATGCGAGCATTTCACTGGATCCCAAACCTGGATACTCAACTTCTCACTGCAGTCCCTTTATGTTAAGACCTAACCAAATCCTGCCAAACCAATCACTACTCGTAAAAGGACATTACGAAAATTGGAAATATCAACCAGTACACCGATTAAGGAAGACCAGAAGCAGAAATTTGTGAAAAATAAAGTTAAGAACGTTACTAAAAGATTGGATGATATATCAAAAAATGTTTCTAAGAAGACTGTTAAAGCTATTACTAAGACTGACAAAACAAATAGAAAAACCGCTAAAAAAGCTAAACAGCCGAAGAAAATTGAAGAATTTAAGGATATTTTATGTTTTTTTTTGCGGCGAAATATACATTAAAGAAGATGATAGTCCGATTGAAAATTGGATTCAATGTGACGTTTGTCAACTCTGGTGTCACGAAGAATGTTCTGCTTTTGATGGCACTCAAGAGTATATTTGTGCTAACTGTCAATCTTAATTTTCTTATTATTAAAGTTCAAGTTATTTTTTTTCAGTTTATTAAATTTATTACTTACGTTTTCAGACATTGGAATGTGTGTATTCACTTTGTCGGAGTACTGTATCCGCTTTACCCGGGAATCCGGGCAATGTGAATAATTTCGTTCTTTATAAGATTTTAATGGCAGTTGATAATTATCAACTGCCATTAAATTCNTAATTTTGTACTTAAAATATTCTAAAAGAAACATAACAATATTGTTTTATGTACTTTCACTTTTCACGTATAGTATAACTACTCTTTAAGATTAAGTACTGTGTATCTCAAAAACCAGAGCTAATAAAAATTTTTCATTGTTATTTTCGTTTTTATCACCCCAAAGTTAGTAGAAATTGACTAATTTAGTGTACGAAACATTCAAAAAATATTTTTTTGTTGTGTTGTGAATTGTTCAATTATGAAGATAAGACTGAGTTGTCCTAGTTATTTTGTTTTTGTACCTTATACATTTTCTGCTAAAGCATTAAATATCTTAAGATATTCATTTTGCCCGACTTTTCAAAAAGAACTCTGAAGAAGACATTGCAGCGTTTGTAAAATTTCTGGCCGATCTTAGGAACTAATTTGCTACAAGATTCCAAGATTTTGCAGAGGTGGGCAAGCTATCTCTGTTTCTTAAACCGTTATTGGAAGTTAAAACGGTATCCACTGAAGAATTTTGGACCAAACATGTTCCAGAAAAATATGAAAATTGCAAGAAATTAGCTATAAATTTGGCCATTATGTGTGGCTCGACATATGTATGTCTTGAAGATTAATTTTTTGAAAAACAAATATCGTTCGAGATTAACAGACGCCCACGTAGAAGACATACTTCGAATTTGCTGTTCCTCTCGAGAACCAAACTATAAAAAACTGGCTCAAGACCGTCGCTGTAATTTCTCACATCAATTTCAGATCTTGTGTTTTATAATTCAGAATTTGATTTGAAACCAAAATAATACATAGGTAGCACTTAATTTTTATTAGTTGTTTTTTCTGGACCTCGTAAAAATTTTCCACAGTTACCGGACCACACCTAAAACTACTTGCCGACCCCTGAATTAGTCTGTTGATCCTGACAATGATGCCTCGAGAGACACCAATTTTGTTCTGTTTTCAATAGATTTCTAATTACTTGAGTCATACATGATCAATGATTTGTTCTTTAAACAACCTCAGAGGATTTTGGAGATTTACTATTGAATTCAATTTTGTTTAGCTATGTTTCACCCTATTTTTGACATTGCAATTTATGACGATTAAAATAATCAACATGTTATTTACTGTTTGTTTTTACAAATTGATGATGTATGCAGTTTTTGGTGTTTTCGCAAAAAAAAAATCATTAATATACTAAACGAATTTCATTCAATTCGCCGTTCTCGGCGTTTTCTTTATTGCATGTTGTTGTTCGGTATGCTAATGTTATCACCTGTTGAATTATTTGTCTCAGTTTTTTCAATTCCAGATAGATATGTTGGTTATTTATGATTATTTTTCACTATCATGATTTATGACCTGACGCACTGACACTCTGTTATTAGAATATTTAGTATAGACATGCATTTTCATATATTGTCAACATGAAATATGACTCATCAAATTGAAAGTGAAGTATACGCTGTACATGATATGTTAATATTTGTGTCTCATAATAAATTACCCAAAAATCCAATCATTCTAATAATACCAACGACATACAGAAACAAATGTTTACTTAAACCGTTAAAAGAACATATGAAATATGAAGATATGAATTGATGAATGGTACTCATGAACATCTGGAATGTTGAATTACTCTCGAATATCACAATTATAATAATCTTCAAGTAGGTATCCGGATGGTTTTCCCCCTCTCCAACTTTCAATTTCTGCTTAACACAAAATCTCACTCAAGACCAGAGACCTGAGGATGGCCTACTTTGCACTACGATTGTGAAAGCTATTCAGTTTGCATCAGAGCATTCAAACTGTGCGGAACAAACTTAGTAGAAATTTTGAGTTGAATTATCTTTCGTGAATTTTTGCTTCATCGTACAGGACTATACGTTTTTATCACAGTGATAGTTTCGGTTGTTATAGATAGACATGGCACCAAAATTGAATCATCCTTTCATGGAGGGTCTCAAAGTTGTTCCTGAGGGAAAACAGAAAGATTTGAAGAAAATCAAGACTTGGTATGTTATGTTTTCCACTATTCAACAATTTTCTATCTATTCGTGAACTAATGATGGAAGCAGTAAAAAAAATGTACGAAATTATCATTTGCTTTAGTCTCATTGTTTCCTTAGACGAATATTGGATGTCCTTCAAAATTGTTGTATAATATTTGAAGAGAAAATTGTTCTTGAAAGTAGGACACTTGCTGACACTAATTCTTGCTGAGAAATGCTTTCTGTTTAGTGTAATACTTATTTTGGTGCAGTGTCCATTATATACAGGGGGATTATTAAGTCAACAAACAAGACAACATTTTAGTGTTTTTCGAATCTTGCAACTTAAATTGTTAAACCATTTTTCAAATTCAGTACTTCTGGTATTCACTACTTATTTTACTTCATTTGCAAATTTTCCATTTCGATAACCAAAGGAATTACTTGTTAGGTTCTGAAAGTTTCTTTTCAACTTCGAAATTCGAAAATTTCCATTTAATGATATTTTATATTCCACTATTGAGAAAAAGTTAATTGAAAAACTCTGAATTTATCATTGGGCTTGCTCCACTTATTCCTTAACAACTGTATGTGAAAAACGAACATCAAACGAAATCTGTTTTACAAAAATGAGTGATGAACAAGGAAACGATGTCAATTTCCGTTTGAAACAGTTTAACTCGAAAATGGTTCAAAATAGAAATAGTATTATCTGAACAAAGTTAATCTAAAATTGGATGTAGAGCTCAAAAATGTTGAAATATACAGGGTGCTCCATTTGAAAAAATTGAGTTCCACTCATTTTTTCATGAGATCAAAGTATCTGCATTTTTTGAAGACCCTGTATGAGGCAAATGAAAATATGACTCGGAGTGAAGATCCTCATAGTATCACTCCACTCCATTTCAAATTTGATCGTTTTAGTGCAAGAGAGTTCAAGATTATCAACATTTATAAAAGTTCATGTTTGGTAAAAAAAATATCGAAATTAATTTATATCTTTTAATCGGTAATAGATAGGTATAGGGAAATAGTATATGAATTTTTTGACAAAGTGATAATGAATCATAATATGATATTATATACGGAGTGTTCCATTTGAAAAATCAAAGAAGCCGCTACTTTATAGTAGAAGCGACAACGCCGCTTCGCCTGAAATATTTTAGGCGTGTAGGTCATATTGATTTATGCATACTGTGAAATTTTCAGGTTGATCCGTTCAATAATTTGTCAGAAACGGCTAATTAACGCTCATCATGAAAAGCCCTATATATATAGGAGATATACCAGCTTTGAATTAGTGAGCAATTCAGCTACGCGGAAATGACATTAATTCATACACTTTTCGACTTGTTTCATACATGGTTTTAATTCAGTAGTAGTAGTTTACACTGTTTTGAATATCGGTTTTTTCAAATCCATTAGAACATCCAATTTGTATGGGTCATATTGGTGTTTGTTAAAATTCTTTTTAAGATTTTATAGAAATTCCAGAAACTGTTGGATTCGCGATTCAGTATTCGAGAATAATAATTTCAACATCATCATTGTCAACAATCGATTTTCTTCTTTGAATACCTGCTTTTAGGGGACCATGATTTAATAGGTCTGAACGATTGTCTTGGCTATAATTTTTGTTTGTGTGTATCATAATTTGCCTGTGCACAGTGAAATCTGTAGAGAGAA